CTACGACACTTCGCCACCTAAAATCCGATGCCGCTCTTGAATTTGCATTCTTGCATATGAGCACAGCACCCCTCTCGCCAAGTTTCGCCGCCCGAAGGATTCTCCTGAAGTCGTTCCGCCTGCAATCCACCACCAAAAAATCTATGCCAACTAAACTCTCCACCCCCTCCTCTGCCTCGCCAACGATGATATGGGACGACATACCGGCCTTTTCCATGGCTGCAGCGTACTCTACCCTCGACTCTTCATCAGGGGCTATGCAAATATGCCTGCCGCCGCCATGGCGGCTTGCGATAGAGAGACCGACACTCGTCGCAATTGCCCCACCCTGCGACCATGTTTCTACTATTAGCTTTGCTTTCCACCCGGCTGCCATGGCTGATATAAGTTCTGCTACGCCTGATTCTTTGTGAAGTTCACACTACACACAGAAACACAATAAATCAGCACAGGAAATTGAAAAATTATCCAACTGAAAAATAATTAAAAAAAAAAAAAGCGCCAACAACGACATTTAAATCGACCCAATATGACTTGGCTACAATTTTACTGACCCATTAAGACCTTCAACGAGTTTTATTAGGCATCAGGACGAATATTTCTGCAAGGAATTCCATCAGTAATCGCCAACCAACGGAATATTATTTCCATGGCTAAATATCACTTCCTGAAAAATAAACTTGACCGACAGATTTTTCCACGGATCTTCTGTTGGAATCAACGACAGGAAAATCCATGGCTAATCCCACAAACCTTTTAGTGATATTGGGATGAGTTTAATGGTTGAACTTACTGATTTTACGGTGTCGAGATAAGCCTTGGAGGCCGTCTCTGGAGACCAAACTAGCTTCATCTTTTCCCTTTTTTCCCCAATTTTGTTGTTCTTGATTTGTATTTATTCTTCCCTTTCTTGTTGTTCAAGTTATACTTCTCTTTTCTTCAAAGGTGAAATGCCAAATGATGCAATGAAATATGTGTAAAATCTTATATTTAAATTAGACAAACACGTCTTGGAGAGGTTCTTGTCGATCCGTTGACAATTGATCCACCCAAATCCAACGTGGGGATTGGTATTACAATGCATTCATATTTACGTAAATTATTTAATATTGTTGATGTGACTAGAATCAATTTGATTAATTAGAAACAATCTGAATTTCGTTATTTGTTAAATTTCTAAGTTGATAGACCCAAGTTTGAACAATCTAAACTAGGTGTTGATTTATATAATACTTATAAAAAATATTATTAGGAAACGTGCCATCAAACAAGGGTGAAATATTTCATTCTTAATACTATTTCGAAGTGTTCACAGTCTA